TAGACATTTTATTAAAGTATAAAGATTAAATAGGACATTATCATTTTTTAGTAAATTAATATTGTGTTAATAAAAATATTTTAATCTAAAATGATTGTAAATCGTAGAGTTATTTTTAATTATTTTAGTGTATATATATCTAATAGTCTCAAGATAAAATTTGAAATTAACAATTAGTGTATTCAAATATGAGCTCGCTCCATTTGACATTGCAGAGATTAAAAAAATTGATTTTAATATATTTTTAATTAAAATTCCAATAATGTTTAATGTCAAAAAGGTAAAAAAAATTGAACATAACAAAATAACATAATTTTAAAATGTCTAAAAAGAATGAAGAAAATTAGTACAACGGAGAGACTAATCCCCGTTTATCTCAAGATTTTCTTTTATAATTGCTCGACATTAACCACTAACCACACTACAGCCACGAGGTACTTACCACTAACCATTAAAAAATTGCGAAGACTTTTATAAAATAGTGCTGAGCTGAAGCAAGCAGACAGCCAAAGCCACAGTTGGCTGCTGACCATCAACCGCATCGCTCATTGTATTATACCACTTGCAACCATGGAAATGGACAGAGATTAGCTCTCCATCTATATTCCGCCATCTAACAACAAGAAGAAGCTGTTCAAAAGAGAAGAATTCATGTCTTCCAAGCCCAGTTTCAGTTTCCTTATCCTCTTCATTTTTTCTGTACTACCTCTCATCTTCTGCATCTCCACCAATGCCCCGCCTCCGCCCACCGTCTGCATTGTCGGCAGTGGCATCGGCGGTTCCTCCGTCGCCCACTTCCTCCGCCACTACTTCCATCCCACCCCAACCCAACCCAACCCTCCTATCATCAAGATCTTCGAGCGTAGGTCCATCGTCGGTGGTCGCATGGGCACTGTCTCAATCGGCGGGGAGACTTTTGAGGCTGGTGCTTCGATTCTTCATCCCAAGAACTACCACGCGCTTAACTACACGAAGCTTCTCGGGTTGAAGATCAAACCGCCCCCTTCCTCGGAGGACGATGATTCGATGTCGTTTGGGATTTGGGACGGGAAGAAGTTTGTTTTCAAAACCCTTCAAGTTGATTCCAAGTTCCCGCTGGTGCAGAAGATCGTTTCTTTTGTAAATTCTTTTTGCTTGTTTTTCCGCTACGGCTTCTCCCTTCTCAAGATGAACAGCTTCGTTGAGGTTTGACTTCACCTTCTTCAATTCTATGATCGCCTCTCTTTATTTAACTTGCTTACAGGAAACAAAATTACACTCCTAGGATTATATCATTTCCTTTGGAGGAAAAAATCAGTAAATAGTAAAAGCAAAGCAAGCAACGATGAAAAAGAAGTCTTGATTATCTTTTTATTGCGTGATCTCTGTTCCTGATGTGTTGTTGTTGTGCAGCGTACTGTGGATAGCTTCTTAAAGTACTATGAAAGTCCCGAAACGAGGCCTGTGTTTGAGACTGTGGATGAGATGCTTAAATGGGCTGGTTTATATAATCTCACAACTCGAACTTTGCAAGATGAACTCATTGACATCAAGCTGTCTCCTTTATTGATAGAGGAGCTTATCACAGTAAGAATTCTATGTTGCTTGGAATACTGCATTAACTATGTGACATGAACTGCATTGTAGAAGTCCTGAACCAAAAAATTGGAAAGAACTATGACAAAATTCTCACCTAATAGAGGAATATTAACTCCAATATATATTTATAGCTACTTGATGTTCCATCTTTTCCACTCGCAAAAGCACTGACCCGATGACCAAAAAAAGAAGCACTGACCTGTGCCTACATGGTTTAAGCTTGATGCAAGTACATGTAGAGAGTTAGATCTCTGTCTGTAGTGCGTTTTTAATGTGTCAAGTGGCTGTGGTTACTTTACCTGGTTATTTAAGGTTGCATTCTTCTAGGCAATGTGGTTTCCGATGTAATAGATATCCATGAAGTTGGACAACTATGATTTGCATACTCCATGAGCCATATTATGTATGAACCTGTTGGAAGCTGCTTCATTTATTGAAATGACCTAGCTTCAGTTAGTAAAAGTTAATTTCCTTTAAATTACTTGCAACTATTTGTATGAAATTTGCTCTAAAGACAGCAACAAGACTGATGCGAACCATTGCATTTGATTTGAGGGAGTCCATTATATCCATTCCCCTAGCAAGCAGATCTTATCTAGTAAATTTAGATATGCTGAATCAAGTCTTATCCGTTCCTTTTCTGTTGGATTCATTTCAAGGGAGGCATTTTCTGGTGTCTTTGGAAAATTACTTCTAATTGTAGCTAAGGTTTTGGGGATGGCTTGAAAGTCAAACAAATATGTTATAATTTGAAGCTCATAAAAAAAATATTTGTTATAATTTGAAATTGGCACCAAATAGGCTGACTGTCGAGAAGTTATAACAAGTCATAATAATGTTGCATTCTGAAGGTCATAACAAGAATCAATTATGGTCAAAGTGTCTATATCAGTGGACTTGCTGGGACAGTTTCATTGGCAGGATCTGAGGGAGGATTATGGTCCATTGAAGGAGGGAACTGGCAGATGGCTGCTGGACTAATTAATGGTTCTGATGTTTCTTTGCATCTGAATGAAAAAATACAATCCATATCTTACCTTGGAGAATATTATGAACTTAACTCCACAAAAGGAAACAGTTACTCATGTGATGTCACTGTGGTTGCTACACCCCTTGATGAAGTGAATATCCAGTTTACACCTTCAATTTCAATTCCTGAGAGGAAGCTGCAGCATACACACGCAACTTTTGTGAGAGGCCTCTTGAATCCAGTAAGTATTTTAGGAGTTGCTAATTGCTTTCTCATTTGCACTTCTAAACGAATCTTTGATTTCTTATTGTTCTGACCAGCATTTTTTGTTCCTTTATAATGTTTGTGTTTTCTCTTGGCAAGGCATATTTTGGCCTGAAAGCTGTTGCAGAGATTCCAGAACTAGTTGGCACGTTAGAGGATCCTGACCTTCCATTCTCAAGCATTTCAGTTCTCAAGCAACATGATGAAAAAGATGCAACTTACAAAATATTCTCTCGAGAACCAATGGCAGATGCATTGCTGGATAGCATTTTTAGGTAATATTTTCAATTAATCATTAGCTTTTAACCTGATGGGTAAGCGCTGGGAAAGGGATCATATTGTACATAAAACAATTTGCCTAAAGTTCTTTTTGTAGCATGATTATTGACTTGGGCTATATGCTCTGTCATATAGCTTGCCCTGTCAGTGCGATTCGTGCTCTTTCTTTTAGATATTAGTATTGCTGTAAGTATCTGGGACTGCTTCTTTGATACTTTACTAAGATTTGGACCTTTAATTAGACCATAATCCATGACATAGATGTAGTTGAGATGTAAGTAGTGTTAATGCACGAGGGAAACAACCAGTTTTTTATCTCCCTTGTCCCAGTTCCCCCTTGTCTTAGATTTGGAGAACTAGTAGTCACTGTAAATTCAATGTTTTAGGATTCACACTCTAACAAGTGTGAAAAAAGGCATGGCAAGGCCTTGTTATTAAACTTTAAACATTGATTCAAGAACCTTTGCATTATTAGATGCTGATGGGTGTCATTTGCTCTCATTGTTAGTGCAAGGCTGCATACAATTCGAATAAACTGGGGAGCCTATCCTCATTATGAAGCACCTGAAGTATTTGCACCATTTATTTTGGATAGTCAACATTTGTACTACGTGAATGCATGTGAGAATGCAGCTAGTACCATGGAGACAAGTGCTGTTGCAGCAGAGAATGTAGCGAGGCTCATCTTGTCAAGATATTTTAGTGAAGGATCCATGGATTCATCACACTTGAAGAGCTTTAGTCCTGCTGCAGACACATCACACTTGGACTTGTAACTTAAAGCTGATGTAGATATTAGTATGAATAATGTGAAATCAAATTGTAGAATATACAAAGACAAACCAGTATTTGCCCATGTTGTAAAATCCTTGTGGAGCTGTTTTGTTTTTCTGAGTATTTTGTGAGCATTTTGTCGAAAAACGGCGTTGGCATTTGGAGGTGATTGAGAAAAATGTCTATGTAAAAGGTGAAGAGAATGTTCACTACAAAGCAGATATTATGTCAATTTTAATGAAATAATTTGTGGATGTTATGTAATTTTACCAAATAATTTGATGAAAGGTTCAAAATGAAATCATTAAAAAAAAGTATTTAATAAAATAATTCAAAGATTAAAGAATCAAATGGAATAAAAAGAAAAGGTTAGCAATCATAAGTGAAATTTTCTCGAGTATCATGTTATTGTTAACAAATGACAAAGGTTAGAATAAATATGTATGATATGGCTTGTTTCTATTTTTTGAAAAGATTTTATAACGCGATTATTTCATGTTAGCATATGTCTTTTAAACATGCCATGTAATAATATTTTTGAAAATTAATTAATCTAATATTATTCATCCCATATAATTATTAAATTATGATTATTTATTTCAACATTCAATTAATAATTTTTGTAATAATTAATTAATTTTTTAAGAATATAATCACATGACATGTTTTGAATTTAAAAAATATGTAATGATGTATAATAATGTTTTATAAAATTCATATGCAAATTGCCTTAACTACTTACGTGATAAATAGTATTTATGTTAAAGAAATCAAAACATACATCAAATTTAAGATGTTCAAGATGCATTTTAAATATAAAATAATTTGTAATTGTAAAAATAAATTTCAAATTATATATCATAATTATATAAATGTTTTCATGAATTGAAGAAGTAAGCCAAGGTTTCATAATTATAATATTTAATTATATATGAGATACTCAAATTATGTTGAGATGTTTATTTTGACACCCGAATTAAATATACAATATATATGATTTACCTATTGGAGTATGAAAAGGTGTATCAATTGGGCCAACCACTAACACCACCTCAACCCGACCCGACCTACCTCCGCTTCTCAAAACGCGGGAAAGGCCTCCTTTGAAATTCCCATTCGCTATTTTGGGAAAAGACCTTCCAAACCCCTTCCACTTTCGCAATGTCGGGTACAATCAAGGTTCTGAACGTGGCGGAGAAGCCGTCGGTGGCGAAGTCGGTGTCTGGTATCCTCTCAAGGAACCAAGGCCTGCGAGTGCGCGATGGGCGGTCCCGCTTCAACAGGATATTCGAGTTCAATTACTCGGTTCGGGGCCAACCCTGCCACATGCTCTTCACCTCCGTCACGGGCCACTTAATGGAGCTCGAATTCGAAGACCGCTTCCGTAAGTGGCACTCCTGTGACCCTGCCGACCTCTACCACGCACCCGTTCGCAAACACGTTCCTGAGGTCTCCTTTCTTTCTTCCATTTTTTAATTTTTTCCCCTAATTTACTCTTTGCCTTTTCTAACAGATGCTAAAAAACAAAATTAAATTGTAAAAATAAAAATCATATTCCAATAAACTTGATCAAATATTTAAAATGTTCAGATATATCAAATTGATTGATATATGGAAAAAGTAAATGCCTCCAAAATGTTGAAGTGAAAAACTGATTTCTCCTTTAAGCAGGGGACAATGAACAATGTCAACAATGGAATCGGACTCCGTCTAACTCTCCAATGATCAAGTTAGTAAAGTGTAAAAATAAAGAAAATCTAGTCTAGTAGTAGTGAAAATAAGGTTGACAAGCTTATCATATGTATAGGGTTGAAGAAATCACCGTAGTGCCCTTAGTATAATTTCCACCCATTACAGTATCCAAATGCACTTTTTGCCTTTAGAAGGAAAAAAAGATGAAGGAATTAGCAAAATTAGCTAGATTTTTCCTTTGTATTTGAGACTTCCATAATTTCTGGTTTGTATTGTGTTAAGTTATGTTTATTTGCTGAATTATTTCTTTTATTGGAGTTTTGATGATTTAGGATAAGATGGATATTAAGAGGACTTTGGAGGAGGAAGCTAGGAGGTGCCAGTGGTTGGTTCTGTGGCTTGATTGTGACAGAGAAGGAGAAAACATAGCATTTGAGGTTATTGATGTTTGCAGAGCAGTGAATTGCCATCTGACAACACGAAGGGCACGATTCTCTGCATTAATTGAGAGGTTCTGAAAGACTAATGTTTGTGTTCTTTTTCATTAGTTGTCTTCTTCGGCTTAGATTTAATGCAGTCTGATGTTGGAAATCCCAGGGAAATCCATCATGCGATGCAGAATCTTGTTGATCCTAATCAATGGTTTTCTGATGCAGTAGATGCTAGGCAAGTAAGTAACTTCCCCTATTGTGGGAGAAATCTACAAGTTCATAATTGATTGATAATAATTGATTTACAAGTTTCCACAAATTGCTTACATACAAGGACCAAAAGGACTTTTTATGGCTTATTCATGCACTTCCTAAATTTTATTTTGACACATTTGTTGAGTGGTGCTATCTTATATTTGTTATATTTGGGGTTTTTTGTGGCCTTCATTGTAAGTTAAGCCTCTTTACCAGCCATCAGTTGTTTTTATGTAGGATGCTCACATGTTGTTAGAAGCCAAGTTGCTTGTTTCCCAAGTGGTTATTTTTATGTTTCTAGAATTAGTTGTTTACGTGGTAAGCAGTTTGTTGCTGTTTTTAAGTTGGGCCTACATGTGAGGAGGAGTGTTGAGTAGTGTTGTTCTACATCAGTTAAGTTTGGGGTATATTCAAGTGGGTTTCTCCATTTATTGCCAATTTGTTTGCAGTGAATACTTAAGAATGTTATCTGTTCATCTTACTTGTGTCATTGTAATTATTTATTAATATCTACAGAGAACAAAAATTGAAATTTATAAATTTATCAGGAAATAGATCTGCGAATTGGTGCTTCCTTCACCAGATTTCAGACTATGATGTTGAGAGATAAGTTTGTTATTGATTCTGCTACAGATGACAGAAATCTTGTTCTAAGTTATGGTCCTTGTCAGGTAAGGTGATAATTGGCAACATCAGATTACAGATATTGATTTATAGTTCTATGGCCCCTATGCTTGTCCATGTTGTGTCTTATATCTTTTAGCAATGCAGTTCCCTACACTCGGCTTTGTTGTAGAGAGGTATTGGGAAGTACAGTCACATGAGCCTGAAGAATTTTGGACAATCAACTGCTCTCATAAATTAGATGAAGGTGTTGCTACCTTCAATTGGATGTAAGTTGACAAGCATTCTACAATTATGTGATTTATCATATATATTTTTTAATTTTAAATTTCTTTCCCTCTGTTTAAGTAGTCATAAGGATAGAGTTAATGGCATTCTAAATTTGCAGGCGTGGACATCTTTTTGATCACACTTGTGTGGTTATAATTTATGAAATGTGTGTTCAGGAGCCAACTGCAACTGTGAGTTGTGCTAAACCAAGTTTTGAGAACAATTCCAACTTTTGATCATTGAAACAACTCTTAGTGAATAATCGAAATTTTCACTATAATTGTCTTATAGGTTACCGCAGTTCGACATCAGGAAAAGCGTAAGTATCCTCCATATCCTTTGAGTACCATTGAGCTTGAAAAGCGTGCTTCACGATATTTCCGTATGAGTTCTGAACATACGATGAAGGTGAGCAGTGGAAGTGGACATGATTTAATCTTATTTTTACACATGCCTAAGTGCATCAAATGGGAGTTTTATTTATTTATTTATTTTTAAGATAGGGCTTGTCTTTGTTGTAACTCATTTCTCCTTCACTTGTTTCTCTCAAGAAATTAAACTAATAATGAAATGGACTGCTTAGCTTATGTTTCTAGATAGAAGAAATTGCTAGTTGCTTGTAAGTTTGCACATTTATATGTACTCTTTTCTTTTTTGCCATACATTAAAATACTACTTTTCTGAATTTTGACATAATATCCAGTGAGAGAGGGAGAAAAATGGGGAAAGTGGGAGAGGGAATTGGGGACAGTAGATAATGGTAAATAACAATAGCAGCAAGCAAAATTTCATTGTTTTTATTGTTTTAATTAGTAATGCTTATTGTATCCTTCGCTTATTCTATTTAAATATTACAATTTTGGGATCCCAATCATGACAAATACTACTCTTGAAAACTGTCTTTGAGTTCCTTTGATTAATAGTGGAGATAAGCATGTATTGGTTATTTAACAAGCTTCTCCAGCTAAAATCACTCCTTTACTTTCATTTTTATTGTTTATAGGTGGCAGAAGATCTATACCAAGCTGGTTTTATCAGTTATCCTCGTACAGAGACTGATTGCTTTTCAAGCAGGACTGATTTGCATGTTGGTAACTGTTTCCTCTTGATGAGATAATCCTTGTCCCTACTTGTGTTAGTAACTTATACTTATATAAGAGGCAGTTTTTAGTTGGCTTCTCTATCAACTTTAACTCTTAAAAGATTTAAAAGAGTTAGGTCTCTTTATCCACTTGGATCATTCCTATTTTTACTCTCATTTCAAATATATTTACACTTTAAAACTTTAAGACTATCTCCTTTCTTCTAAAAGAGTACAATGATCTTTCTATCTCCCACACACCCTTGTATTTGTACTTATATAATTATCATCCACTATAATTTGAGACTCTAGCAGTTGGGAGCAATTGAACTCTAGAAATAGGAAAGAGATATTGAATAAGTATATGAATTACGGATGTAATTAGGTGGGAAGAAAGGATAATTAAGTGAAGAACTTGTAATAATTAGTGAAGAATAATGAAAAAACATTGTCTGGAGAGAACATCTGTTGAGGGAGATGGATATGCAAGAATAGACATGCACATATTATCAATGTTTATGTAACAGGAGGAACACTTAGCAAGCTTGTGGTGCTTCTCTTTAATGTATTGACAGCAGAATCTCAAATTGAGGGTAATGGTTGTGAAGTTTTAATCTTCTTGTCACTAGGTTTGATGTGAAATGGTGAAAATTTATAAGATTTGAAGCATCATTGGGTTCAATTCTAACAGAACACTTTTGCTATTTTTCTATTGATTGTACCCTTATGCTTTATGAGAATTGAGTCAACGATATTTGCCTCTTAAACTAAAACAGATAGAAAACTGCAATCACCAATTCAACAGATTTCTGATCAAATATTTGGGCAACACTGTGTAGGGCTTTGTCCTATACTTCTTTCAATTTTTTATTTAATTTGATTACATCAAGCATACTTTGAAAGTTATCAGGATTGAAGCTTCCAGTTCTTGCACTTTCTGAATTGGTCAGTTCCTTATTTGTCTTGTTGCTACTTTAAAGCTTCTTTTCTGGAAATTAAATCTCATAGGGATGCCTTGCTGGATTTTGAAGGTGTTTCGGTTCACTCTTTCTCCAACATTATTTTTTTTCCTTGCTTGAGTGCTATATTATGTTTACATTTTCTTTTCATCTTATTAATAAATTTATATAGTCAAACCAAGATAACTTTTGACTTTACATTTACATTAGCCGTTGACTAGTCAACATTCAACTTTTATGAAAAAGGCAGTGGATTTATGAATTGGAATCACCTTAATAAATCAATGTGACAATGCTTGCTCTTCTATAAGAACAGTTTCTTTTTTTAATATTATTATCATATTTTCAATGCAACATTTTTATTGTATTGCCTTTTGCTATCTTAAAATGCCGTTTCTTCACGAGTCATAAGATTTGTTTTTGATCCTCTGCCATTGATTACCTGTAGGAGTTGCTTGCATTGATGAAATTATTGTTCACTCAAGTTTTATTTAATGTAGGCAATTGTGCAAGAACAACAGGAGCATCCTGAGTGGGGTTCTTATGCTCAGAGGTTATTGGATCCTAGGACAAGTCTCTGGAGAAACCCTAGCAGCGGTGGACATGACGACAAGGCTCATCCACCCATTCACCCTACAAAATTTTCTACTGGAGAACATAACTGGAGTCAAGACCATCGTGTAAGCAAGTGTATTAGGCTAATAAGAATTATAGTGTCATTGATTTTTTGGAAATTTAATTCCTTTTCCTTTGCATCACAGAAATTATATGACTTGGTAGTTCGCCATTTCTTGGCTTGTGTTTCACAACCAGCTGTAGGAGCTGAAACCACAGTTGAAATTGATATTGCAGGTGAACTATTTTCTACATCAGGAAGAGTAATATTAGAGGTAAGTATTTTATAGCTTTTTCAAAATTTTCCTTTCTATTCCTTGAGTCTTTTCTCATTCATTAAAAAGCGTTGGAGTGTAGTTTTTTTTTTTTTTTTAATTTGGAGGCTGTAAACTACTCTCATATATTTGATAAAAGGTTAATTTCCACAATGTGGCTATTCTATTTATAGTAAAATAGAAAATATGGGAAAGACAAAAACAACCTTAAACCTAAAATAGCCCTAACACATAATAATAATAATATATATATACATATACATATATATATATATATATATATCAGTCTTTAACACTTCCCCTCACGCTGGAGCATAGATTTTGATCATGCCCAGCTTGTTACAATATAATCAATTCTAGCTTGAGAAAGATTCTTAGTAAACAAATATGCTAATTGCTCTCCTGGGCTAACATAGGAAGTAGATATTAATTTTTGTTGAATCTTCTGTCGTACAAAATGACAGCCGACCTCAATATGTTTTGTCCTTTCATGAAACACTGGATTAGAAGAAATATGCATAGCTGCCTGATTATCACACCACAATCTCATAGGAGATGAATCTGCAAAACCAATTTCCTCCAACACATGACGAATCCACATAAGCTCACAAGTAGTTTGTGCCATAGCACGGTACTCGGACTCTGCACTAGACCTTGCTACCACATTCTGCTTCTTACTCTTCCAGGATGCCAAATTTCCTGCCACAAACACACAATATCTTGTAGTAGATTTCCTATCATCTGGTGATCCAGCCCAATCGGCATCAGTAAAGCTGTCAACTCAAGTATGTCCATGATCTTAAAATACAACCCCTTTGCCTGGTGTCCCTTTAAATACTTTAGAATACAAACCAATCCATCCCAATGAATAGTAGTAGGCGCTGACATGAATTGACTTATTACACTCACTGGAAATGAAATATCAGGACAAGTCATTGTCAAATAATTCAATTTACTTACTAGCTGTCTACATTTTTCAGGATCTGCAAATGCCTCCCCCTCTCCTGCTATAATCTTCACACTTGAGTCCATAGGAGTATCACAAGGCTTTGTGCTAAGCAATCCAACATCTTTGAGCAAATCTAGTACATACTTTGGGAGAGAAATATACCCTTTTTGGAGCAAGTTTCTTCAATCCCTAGAAAGTATTTTAAGGAACCCAAGTCTTTCATTTCAAAGTTTGCTTGAAGAAAAACTTTAAGATCATGAATACCCTGTTGTCACCAACAGTAATCACAATATCATCAACATAAACAACCAACAAAACACAACCAATGTTAGTACATCGAACGAACACATTATGATCACATGAACTCCATAACAGTTCAAACTCAAATATCACATCACTAACCCTCCCAAACCAAGCTCTAGGAGATTGTTTCCACCCATACAATGATTTTCTCAACTTGCATACTTTACCAAACACCCTTTGAGCAACAAACCCAAGTCGTCGCTGCATATACACCTTTTCCTATAAGTCACCGTGAAGAAAGGTGTTCTTCACATCCAATTGGTATCAAGGCCAATGATTAGTAGTAGCTAATGAAAGAAATATACAAACAAAAGTTAATTTAGCTACAGGAGAAAATGCATTTGTATAAGCCACACCATAAGTTTGAGCATAATCCTTAGCTACCAGTTGGGCTTTCAATCTAGCAATAGTACCATTAGGATTCACCTTTATTGTGTACACCTACTTGCACCCAATGACCTTTTTACCCGATGGAAGAGAAACTAAATCCCAAGCACCATTAGTCTCAAGAGCCAATATTTTCTCTTCCATAGCAGTTCGCCAACCATCATGAGATAATGCCTCTGTAAGAGTCTTTGGAAGTGAAACTGAATCAAGAGAAGAAACAAAGGAATGGGAAGAACAAGAAAGATGATCACAGAAAACAAAAGAAGAGATGGAATGAGTGCGTTGGCGTTTACTTTTTCGAAGAGCAATATGGAGATCAAGATCAGAATATAACGAAGTAGAAGTCGGTACGAGAAGTGAATCCAACTATGTATCTACGGGTTGAAGAATTGTTGCATTAATGCCATGACGACGGGATGTACACCTGTGTGACTGGAGGTCGAGATGAAACAAATGGAGTATCAAGACTAGGATTATTCACTACATAAATCAAGAAATCATCCACTAGCTCAATCTCAGAAACAAAGGAAGGAGGACTAGCAAAGAAAGGACTATGCTCAAAGAATGTGACATCACGAGAAACAAGATACTTACCCAATTTTGGTGAGTAAAAATGATAACCTTTTTGTGTATGTGAGTAACCTAAGAATATACATTTTAATGTATGAGGATCTAGCTTACTAACATGCGGTCACATATCTTGAACAAAATAAGTACAACCAAAAACCTTGGGAGGTATAGGAAATAAGGACTGGTTTGGAGACAAGATATAGTATGGTGTTTGGCCTTGACGCACATATGAAGGCATGCGCTTAATAAGAAAAGCAGTTGCATGAATAGCATCAGCTCAAAAAACTTTAGGAACTCTCACTTGAAACATTAAGGCTCTAGCAACTTCCATAAGATGACAATTTTTTCTCTCTGCTACTCCTTTTTGCAGAGGAGTAACAATACAAGAAGACTGATGAATAATGCTATTTTGTATCATGTAAGAACTAAAACAATCAGAGAAATACTCTTTAGCATTATCACTATGGAGGATACGAATATTAGAGTGAAATTGAGTACGAATTTCTGCACAAAATGCAACAAAGATCGAAAACAACTCAAATCTAGATTTCATTAAATATAACCAAGTATTTCTGGAAAAATCATCAACAAATGTTACAAACTTCTTAAAACTGGTTTTTGAAGTCACAGGACATGAACCGCAAACATTTTAATGAACTAACTCAAAAAGAGAAGTAGCCTTCTTATTAACTCTACACACATATGGCACACGATGGTGCATGGCAAACTCACAAGACTCACATGGTAAACTAGACACAGATACTAATTCAGGACACATTTTCTTCAACACTAATAGAGACGGATGACCAAGTTGGCTGTGAAGTTGGAAAGGGGAAAGATCACTAGAATAGGCAATTGATGCACCAGCAGAAGGAAGAGCAGCAATAACTTCATCCAGTAGATATAATCCATTTGATTCACTCACATTGCCAAAAATCTTCCAAGTCAAGAGATCTTGAAATAGAAAATAACTAGGAAAGAAGGGAACACAACAATTTAAGGCTTTAGTTATTTGGTTAATAGACATCAAGTTAGACGGAAAGTTAGGAGGTGCAAAACCGATGATAAAGGCAATGACGGAGTAACAGATGTACTACCACTACCTAAGACTTTAGTAGTTGACCCATTAGCAAGAGTGACATTAGTACAATGATTGAAATGCCTATAACTGGATAAAATACCTGAATTTCCTGTCATATGGTCAGTAGCACCTGAGTCAATGACCCAGTGATGAGATAGAGAAGAAAGACATGCTATGGGATTACTTGACCTCCCTAAGGTAGCAATAGAAGAGGATGAAGGCTGTTGAGACTTCTGGAATTGGGTATATGTAGAAAACTCCTCATCAAGCATAATTATTGTTTGGCCTTCAGTGTGAGGCCTAGTAGAATTGCCAATTCGTGATGCTGCATTAGCAAATTTAGAGGGGACTTGATACTGTTGTTGTTGTTGTTGTTGTTGCCTCTGTGAAGGAGATTAATAATGATAATTTTGTTGTCCCTGGAAGGGTTTAGAATACCAATTTTTGGGGTGACCTTGTTCTCCACAATTATAACACACTCTTGGACCTCCATGACCACCTGTTCCTTTTCCACCATGACCTCTAAAATGCCTTTTTCCCCTCTTGACCCTGCTCTATATCCACTGGCAAAGCCATTAATACCTTATGAGACTTAGGCGGATCAATCAGACACATTACTGGTAGTAAAAACACTTTCCTTGGTAGCATTCGGTATAGTGGTAACAACATCAAACAATGACGAAACATCCTTGTTAGCAAAGAGTTGAGAACGAATCATGTCATACTCTGAATCTAAACCAGACAAACAACCAAAGACAAATAATCTTTCATGATATTCTTTCACCTTAGCCACATCAATAGAAAGTGGCATGGCAATGTAAAAATCTTCAGTAGCACTCTTATAACCATAATAATAGTCCATAATTGTATGTCCATTCTGACTTGGACAACTAACCTCTTGTGATAAACTGTACAATCTTTTCTTATTCTTTGTATTGAAAAACACTCATGCAATAATTCTCATAACTCTTTAACTGTTGTATGTTGCATTGAAAGAACCATCTTTCTATCAATACAATTAACAATCTATGAAAACAATTTTCCATCATCTGTCGTCCATACCTTTGTAGCATCATTTTTTTCTGGATAAGGTTCATAAGATGTGCTTCCTTACCAAGTCCTCTTATGTTAACTGTAACTAGAAACTTCCATTCTACAAAATTAGAACCATCTCCAGCTAGCTTAACATTAAGTATTTTGTGATGTGAGGACACAACCTCCACATTCTTACTACCTTCGGATGTCATCTCACTTTTCCATACTATTAAAAAAAACAAATCAACATCAAATACTAACCAACCTCATATTCAGCTAACAAGCTCTACCAATCTTAGTAGAACCCAATTCGCATAGTTACAACAATTCGACGAGTACCTTCTTTTTCTTCCTCTTCTTCTTCTTTTTATTTTTTAATTTTTTAGGGTTTTGGGTAGGTAGGCTCTGATACCATGTAAACTACTTTTATATATTCGATAAAAGGTTAATTTCCACAATGTGGCTATTCTATTTATAATAGAATAGAGAAAATAGAAAAGGCTAAAACAGCCTTAAACCTAAAATAGCCTTAGCACATAATAATATATATATATATATATATATATATATCAGTCTTTAACAGTGGCTAAGCCTGGTATCACTGAGTGCAAGATTTCTGATGGCCGGAATAATTACAACTTTAGGATTTTTTTTTTTATTTTAATAGTCAGGCTTCTGGTGTTTCCTTTTATGTTACATTTAGGGTATTTCAATGGTCCAAGAAATGTCAATCCATTTTGAACTGCTAATGGCCAAAGGAAACTTGTAACTGGAAAGTTGTTTTTGTGTTTTTGTGTTTCTGTATGATGTCAAGTTGCCATTTTGAACATTAAGGTTGGACAGGATTGTGGTAATATCTTACTTTATTTGCTCTTACTTCAATTATAATCGTGCATGATAAAACTTCAGAAACTGTGTCAAACAAAAATCACAAACAGCTTCTCTTGGAATGGATAAGATGTTTAAAAACTTTTATTAACTTCTGATCGGCCAACCAGGAATGCACTACTCTTGTTAGCCTGTCTTGCCTTGTATGAATTGATTTTCTTTGAGATGTGATACAATAATGCAGCTGGTTCATTCCAGTGGCATGAATAATTGTCGTTGTCTTGGTATCTTTTGGCAACAGATGGTGTCATTGCTCTTCTAACGCACCATGGTCTCTTTAGATTTATTACTATCATCTTGAATTTTGACTAAGTGAGTTTTCTATTTTGACCAGAGAAATTACTTAGATGTTTACCGATATGAATCATGGGGAGGTTCAATGATTCCAACCTACACTCTTGGACAGCAGGTTTTACATTGTTTCTGTATTGTTCATTTCAATCTTTTCAATTGGAAGTTAATTGTTTGATAAAAAAATTGGAAGTTGATTGTTAGTGTTCCTGTATATTGATATGCCTGCTTCCATGTGGAGTTGCCATGTTGCTAATCATTCTCAAGTTGCCATATTTGTCAACTATTTGGTAGAATGTCAGCCTAATCTGGGACTATTGCTGGTAAAAACGATTAATTGTTGGCTTAGAAATTCCCAGATGCAGACTTTTAACTATAAAGCTACTGAATCCTTCCTTGATTCATACTGTGAGTACCCAAAGAAGCCAAATAACAATCTTAAAAAACTATAGTTTCTTAATAGACAAGGAGTTAGCAAAAGGGAAAAAAAAAGCTGAAATAAAAGGACATTCTTAAGCCCATTTTGTTGATGGAATAACTTTTGGGTGGAAGAGGGAGAGGGCTTGTAGGTATAGTTTTTTTTCCGAAATTGATTATTGGGCCTTGGTTCTGTAACAATTTTTGTACAAATGGCACAAGAACAAGATGATCATGTTTCGTTTGAAAGTTTTAACATCTGAGTTCAGTATTTTTTCATGATTTCTCATTGATGACTAAGGTGAAATTCAAACCATTAGATTTTGTGACTTCCACACTGAATTATGGCATAAATTTGATGTTTTGCAAAATAGACTTAAGCATCTACATCCCTCTGTAGAATTGTTGAGGCTAGAATTGGTATTAATTCTTCAGTTCCTTGTGATGTTGCAGTTCATCCCAACATCGTTGACTCTTGACACAGGAGTCACTAGACCACCACCCCTTCTGAGTGAAGCTGATTTACTAAGTTGTATGGACAAGGTCAGAATTCCTATGTGCTCTGATCTGGGTAATTTGATTCTGGTTTCAATGTTTTCGGACAGCAATTAGTTTGATTTTTTAAAAACTTGTTGCTCTCTTTTCTTCTATGTGAAAGGCGGGCATTGGTACGGATGCAACAATGCATGATCACATTAAAAAGCTGCTAGATCGATTTTATGCAACAAAGGACTCAAACACTCGTTTCTCGCCCACCAAACTTGTAATCTTTTTTCCCTTTTCTTCTTTGACTCTAGCTTTTTTGTTATATTTTATTTACTTTTGAATCTTCTGTATTACTGAATTTGTTATGAGTCAGGAGATTAATTAAATATTCGGAGAGAGAGTACAATTAGGGAGTTTAAAATTTGTTAGATGGTTTGAAGTTTTAGAATAACTCTTTCTTTCTATCCAGCTGACACAGTGGCATCCAAAACAAAACATGGTACTTTTAAAAATAAAATTCTTATATGCATATATCATCATAACAAATTACCGAAATTTATTTGTATGTATGTATATGTACATGTATATGAGTGCGTAAATGCATGCATAAAATGTAATGCACTAAAATAAAGAGTACTATCTAGTTGTGTTCTACTTTAGAATTATCAATTCTTTTTTATTAAAAACAATCTATTTATATTTTATTTTTGAATAGGTTATGAAGTAAAATATAAAATTGAACACATAAAATGAATACAGCAACCAAACAAATTCAATTGTTTGGGTCTCAAATTTTGATAATCATATAAAAAAATTCTTGTAAATCTTAAATACAGTTAAGTATAAAAGAAAAGGAAGATTCTTTGAAAAATTCCAAATAATGATTAATATAAAATATTTTTACTCAACAAAATCAATTTAAAGGATGTGATAAAATGTATATAAAGACTTTTAATGAAAATGATTGCTTAAGTCAGGACATGGGTTTAGTTCAAGTGGTTGGGTGGGTGAAGGTATTAAGTAGGTTTTTTGTTTTTTTTTTGCTCAGTGGTATTGAGTAGGTATTCTAAGTTTAAGTTTTGATGCACATATCTTTACCCTAAAAAAAATTACTTGTAGATCATCATAATAATCAAGTTTAAGTTTTGATGCACATTTCCTTGCACTAAAAACAATTACTTGTAGATCATGATAATAATCTATATAGAACATAATAAGTTGCTTTCTCTAAGTTCTTTCTTTAAAACATTTGATTTTGTAGTGGTTTATATACAGTTAAATAGAAAAGAATTCAGATAGCTAAGATCATATCATCATACCTTTTCATTTAATTTGAATTGTTATAAAATATAAATTTAGCAAATGGGCTACTTGAATTTTATTCCACAAATTACATCATAATACTTTCCTATTTCAACTTCATTATTGTGATTAAGTTTTGCTTATTCTTTGAATAGCAATATTGTCATTTCAATATTACCAATTAAATATTTTTAATATCAAACTCTAAATAGTTGTGAGTGCACACTTCCTGATGTAATATATCAAATTGGAAGCACAAATTGGGGAGGGGGGGCATTATTTTGAAGGAATTAACCATATTGCCCATATATATGTACTGAAAACTTAACTAACTGCATCAGAGTGGATGGAAGGGTTCCTTGGTAACTAGCCACGTGTATACTAAATATTTGAAAGTGATCCCTTTCATAGACTAATGGACATTTTTAGGAAGGTGTAGCTTTTAGAGTTTGGAGATGTAATTTACACCCACGAAATCCTTGTAATAGGAACCTTTTTCCTTTAAAAGGTAATAGAGTTTCCAGGATTTAGAGATTTCCAAGTTTTGAACTATCTCTAGGCCAAGTGATGTCTTGAGCTATGATGAGAGAATTTCAAGTTTTAAATTATCTCTAGGTCAACACATGAAATGCCTAGATTGACTAATTGACATTGCCTTGCTAAACACATTGTTGGCACTTTCTGAAAGTGGTCTTCTTTAGCCTAAAAAGAGGTGCAAGTTTACATTTTTAGCCACCAGACAAGAGGAGCCCTTAAGTATGATCATAAGTGGCATTCTTAGTTAAGTGTTGGCATAACAAAAATGTAGTAAATCTATATCATTGAGTAAATGTGCTGAACTTAGTGTGTTAATAGGAATCTCCTTTGTGAAAGGAGTTCTAATACTGAGTTTTTTCTCTGATCAATGTTTGGGAGTGTAAGAGAAGATTTGGATTTGGGTTTATTGGTTATAGTTTTCTTGAGGGTTTTATTTTTGAACTTTCATGTGGTTGACCAAGTTGTTAAATAGTTTTGTTCTTGGTGTGCTTTTGATTTTAGAGTTCTTCGGCACTATATTTCATTTTGTTGTCATATTAGTTACTTCTTTTATATTAGCAAACTAACTGAACCCTATCATGTATAACTGGACAACAACTGGATGCAATGAAACCATAATTTCGTATTATCTCTTCTTTCCTTTTTTGTGTTTCTTACAAGTTAAATTAGGTTTTTGATGGTAACTTATTACATTGGTATTGACTGTGAGACTTATGTAATCTCAGGGTGAGGCACTGGTTATGGGATATGATGACATGGGGTAAGTAGTCTAC